TTAAAATCTGCGCAACGCGGTTTACGATACTGTTCAAATAAAATTATCTCATCTTTAACGAATTTCCATTTATCGCCAATAATTTACCCACAAAAACGGAAATTTTTGGGATATTTTTGATTTTTTGTCCACACACCCTGTATATGATTCAATCATTGTTCGAAGTAGAGGTTATAGCCTTGGATTCTCTACGCTTCCTGGTTCAAGAATTTTTTGAAAATAGTAAATGGTTTTCGAGAAAATAAGTTTTTCTGAAACCATGCAGTGCGCCATAATAATCAGTGACATCATCGCATCTTAGCAGCCCCCGAAATAACTATTTCAATATGTATTTTTTCAAATATCCCGAGCAGCGTATGTGATAGGCGAAAACCGCAAATACAAAAATTGTAGCTCTTTATGCGGCCTATAACACCGTTTGAACCAATTAGCTATATTTTTACGATTTTTGATTTACGGCTAATAATAACAAAATAAATATTATTGCACTGGATCTGCGTCTGCCGGTTAAACAATCTGCAAATCGGATTAACGATTATGAAGGTAAATATGTTTTTCTGGAAGCTAAAATTACCAAAAAAAAAAAAAAAAATTCAAACATTTTTAAAAAATACTTGGTAACATTTTCTACCATTTAAATGTGGACACGGACTTTTACTTCCATCTTAAATTTGAAGTTGTTATCTGCAAATTTAGGACAATTAACACATTTAGCACGAAATATCGGGAATACCCTGTACAATAGGTGAAAACCTTAAATACAAAAGTTTTTGCTGTCTATGCGGTCTATATTATAATATAAAACAACGTGAGATCTTAATCATCGTCTTTCAGTTATAACCAATTTTCAATAATAGGGGGACCCATTTTTCAGTTTTTTGAATTTGCGGCGCACCTTATATATTTTTGAAAAGTTGTCAAGATAAAAATTTTATAGAGCCGTATCTTCTGCTTTTTCTGGTTCAAGAATTTTTTTGGTCTGGCAAACAGTTTTTGAAAAATGATGTTTTTTGTAGACCCTTGCACACGCGACTTTTTATTTTTTAGAATACTTCCCGGCCCCCCAGCCCCCCCCATTTTCATTAGGTTGGGCCAAACCTGCATATATGTACCAAATATGAAGTCGATTGCTTCAAATTTAGGACCCTTATCGTTTTTCATACCAAGGTCCAAAAAACAGTCGAAAATTGCGAAAAAAAGATGGATATCGGCGTCGCATCAGGGCCATTTATTATATGCTTTATGCCTTGTGGAGGGTTAAAAAGGATGCAAATTTTAACTTTGTAGCTCCAAAAGTTATTCAGGAAAAACCAAAAGGCGAGAACGGAAAACGGACAAACAGACAAAATAAAAAAAAAATCAACGGTGATCATTTCTGTACTAACGGCGATACCATGGGACCTACCGTTACGGAGATATAAATTTTTTTTAAGAGCCCAGATACTTTCGAAAAATTCATTGATTTTCGAAAGTAACAAGATTGATTTCGAAAAATCGTGACAGTGCGAATGGTCTTTTCCGTACCATGCACTACGTAGCCTACAAAGTCACTACGCAACTTCATATTTTTTATTTTTTATTTTGTCCTATAGAGACGCATGGTTTTTCAATCGTGCTCCTGCGGACCACTATGGAACTTTCGCAAAATAGATGTAATTCTATTGTACATACACTCTGTATAAAGCGTCCTTCAAGTATCAATGAACTTCAAACGCACGCCAAATTTTGACAAATATAAAAAAATGTACAAGTGATAATGATTTTTTTTAAGTAACTCGCGCACCCCTGTATGACAGACGAAATCTGAAACTCTCTCGAAACAGTTTACGACACTGTTTAAACAATATTATCCCATGTTTTATAGGTTTTCATTTAGGGCTAATAATTTCTCCACGAAAACGGCAATTTTAAGAGTCTTTTGGACTTTTTGACACACTCTGTACATAATTGGAAAAATTCCGGAAATAAGGTTATAGTCCTGAATCTCACGCGTTTCCTGGTCCAAGATTTTTTCCAATGGAGTAAATGGTTTTTGAGGAAATACTTTTTTCTGAACATATGTAGTACGCCGTAATAGCCAATGACGTAATCGTCATCGTCTAGAATGAGTTGGAGGAATAGTGATTTTCCTATGCATTTTTTCAAATATCTCGACGAGTGTAGTCATATTTTCTACAAATTTTGATTTACGGGTAATAATTTACTCTGGATAACAACAATTTTCAGGGTCATTTATATTTTTGTCCATCATTGAAAAACTCTGTATGTAATCGAAAAAATGCTTGAAATAAAAGTAACATTACTGAATATTGCACGTCTGCTGGTTAAAGAATGTTGCCGATAGGGTTAATAGTTTTTGGGAAAATATTTTTTTTCTGGACAGCAAAGTAACCCAAAAAAAAGTTTTTAAAAAGCAATTTAAATGTGGGTGTGGACCTTTACCTCTGTGATTAATTTGAAGTCTATAGCTGTAAATTTAAGACGCTGCTACTGCGAATACCGGACACACCCTGTACATTATTGAAAATTCTTAAGAGTAAAGAATAGCATTGGATCTGGCGGATCTTCTGCAGGAAGATTTTTTTCGATAGCGTTAATGGTTTTCGAGAAATGATTTTTTTCCTAGACTCTTATTAACATGGTTTTTATTTTTTTTTAAATACTTCTAGGCCCACAGCCCCCCTAATTTCAATAGATTCCGTCAGGGGACTAAACACTCTTCGCTTGAAAATTTGAAGTCGATAGCTTCAAATTCCGGACACTTATCGCGTTTCATAGCGATGTACGAGAACCAACGGAAAATGGCGAAAAAAAGATGGACGCCAAGGTCTGATCGCGGTCATTTCTTGTGGGATTATGTGTCCCGTGGTTTGTTTCAAAAGAGCAAAATTTCAGCTCCCTCGCTCAAACCGTTCGGAAGATATTCGCGTTTTTATGGAGCGTCGATAGAGAACAGAGAATAGAGAGCAGAAAACGGAGAACAGACAAAAAATGAAAACGTTTTTTTTTTTTTTCAACGCTGATTCCATCTCTACCAACGGCGACGCTGTACGAGATGTCAGTTTTGTTGCCAAGCGCGTATATTTTCGAAACATTCAATATGCAACTTTCGCAAAATTAACGACATTTTATTATGCGCAAACGCTGTATAAAGTGCCTTTCATGGCCGCCGAAATTCAAAATCGTTTAAAACTTTGGTAATTAAAAAGAATTGTCCCAGTAATAGCGATTTACAATAATATTTTTATTTGAAATATCTCGCGCACCCTGTATAATAGACAAGAACAGTAAATCAGAAAATTGTAGCACTCGACGCAGTTTGCGATACTGCTTAAGCCAAATTATCTTATCTTTCTACGTTTTTCATTTACGGCCAATAATTTACCCATGAAAATTTGCAGGCATTTTTAGATTTTTTGCCCACAAAAAAACATATAATTTATAATATTTATAAATTTTTATAATTTATAAGTATTCGAAGTAGAGATTATAGCCCTAAATCTCCCACGTGTCCTTATCCATGAATTTTTCCAATAGGGTAAATGGTTTTCGAGAAAATAATTCTTTTCTGAAACTATGCGGTACGCCGTAATAGTGAATGACGTCAGCACGTTTAGACTGAGTGCGAGAAATGGCGATTCGTAAATACAGAAATTGTAGCTCTGGACGTGGTCTATATTTCTGCCTAAACTAATTAGATATGATTTTTACGAATTTTTATTTACTACTAATAATTTACACTTGAAAAAAACAATTACTCTTTTAAATTTTGTTTATAATTGAAAAACTTTGGATATAATCGAAAAATGCTTGAAAGAAAAGTGATAGTAACAGATCTTCCGCGTTTTTTGGTTAAAGAGTTTTGAGTAAATATTTTTCGAGAAAATAATTTTTGTCAGGAAGCCAGAATAACCCAAAAAAAATAAATTCAAAAATTTTTGGCGGGACTTGATTGATCTCGGTTTATACATTTTAGATGTGGGCCTTTAACTTCTATGCTAAATTTAAAGTCGATAGTTCCAAATTTGAGATACCTTTTACATTTTTGAATATAGTACAGAATATCCCGAACACTCTCTACAATATGTGAAATAATTAAATACGAAAGCTTAGCTTTAGATACGCGCTATATGGTCATATGTAAGAAACTGGCAACTAAAACACTGCTTTCTATTTATGGTCAATTATAATTATAAGGAGAACCCAATTTTCAGTATTTTAGAAATTACCGACGCACACTGTACATTTTTAAACAAATCATCAATAATAAAGATTGTCTTCTAGTTCAAGAATTTTTTCGATAGTGTACACCGTTTTTGAGAAACGATTTTTTTCTCGAAACTCTGTGACTGCGGTTTTTAAATTTTTAAAAATACCCAATTTTAGTTTCCCAATGTAAAAAAGAACACATTTTTCCCCAAAGACATGATTTTTGCGCAAAAACAAGGAAAACTTCATTTTTCTTAAAAACTACTCAATGCTATGTAACAGCGAAAAATACTCAAATGAAGCGGATTATTACAGTTTTTATAAATATTCATAGCATTCCATTAAAAAAATAAAGTTTGTTACTGTCCTGGAAAAACTGGACACTCGGTATACGTAAAAATACTTTTAGTAAAATACATACTTAGGGACAAACACATTTTTTTCCGCGGTGTCCTGCTTATTGAGATAAAGTGAGCATCTGAGGTGGACCACCCTGTATATAGATATGGTAAATTGAAATATTAACGATGTACGAATTATTTGTTCCATCAAACCATTTGCGTATACTTTTAACTTTCTCTCAGTGTATGAACCGTGATGTCAGATCCCACTTTGGGAAATTGATACGTTTCGCTTCTCTGAGGTTGTAGTATTCTGTGATTACGTGGACAAAACATCATATGACCCCATTACTTCTGAATATCGAAATATTTACAGAAAATTCGTGTTTGATTAGTACTGTACAGCTTTGGGAAGTTACGAAAGCGTTTCCAACGCGTATAACTGCAAACCTTCGATAGACAGGAATGTCGTGTAACTCTCAACGAAACGCGCTTTGGAAAATTTGCAATCGTATCGTTTGCTATCGCTCAGCACCTTGGTGTCGTTCGTGATAAACCCGTAACGCGGATCAAAGCGATAAAACGTCATAAAATGGCACTCTTCCATGTCCTCGCATTCGTCCATAATCAGTTTCTCCGTTTCAACGACATTCGTCTAGAATTATTTCAAGAGCACCGATTACGACCTAATGGTACGGAGGATACAGTCACGGGGGCCCTATTTTCATTTGCATTGGCAGCGGAGGCTGTTTCGCATCTTGCGACCCGCGTTGCAGCTATAAATTCCCGACGTTTCGGAAGATTTTTAGCTACAACGCGACCAAATGTACACGGAACGAAAAGATTTTCAAATGGTAGATTTTTTTTAATAATAATAATGGATTTTGTCACCCAACAATTCACACCAATTAGAGGATATTACGTAATATTTGGGTCCATTTTAAAAAGAAAACTTCAAAGTTTTCAAAATCTAAAACATATTTTTTTAATATCTGTAATAATCCTTTAAATATTTTAATGACATTTGGCACACTTGCGTAGTCTGTCTTAATCTTCATCGTGGTGACTTTTATTCGCAATTGTCGAATTTACCTGACGGACAAAATTTTTTGTTGTTGTTGTTTGTTTATTTTGAGTGGATATTACCTTGTGATGTTTGTTAAGGAGGGCATTGAGTTTTAATAGATTGACGTTGCAGAATTTTGCGAGGAAATGGTAAGCGAGATAGCGGTGTTGAAAATTGTTCACTTGAATATCTTAGCGGTTTCTATTTATAGATCGCCAGTAGGGGATATTCATCTTTGCTTTCTTTTTTAACTTCATTAATGTTGGAAATAAAGTTGCTTTGCTTGGGGACTTTAATATCCATTTCCAAGAAAATTCACGCTCTCTCATGGCCTTGAAGGTCAAATCGATGTCCCAACCAGGCAGCAAAACTGTTTGGATAACATTTTTATAAATTTTGATTATCAGAGTGGGGTAGATGTGATTCGTGCTCGTTTGTCTGACCACTGTGCAGTAACGTGTAAGATTAATTGCCCAACAAATTCAACTGAAGACATTGAACAAAAATTCAGTACATTTCTTGATATACTCATAAGCGAAATTAACTGTGCTTTTCCCCTCAAGAATAAAATAGTTAAAAATAACAAATTAAATATTGAATGGTATACCCACAAATTACGAGAGATGCGGGATCAGCTAAACTTTCTCCAGGATATCAAAAAACAAAATCATAAATTTCCCGATATCGAAAATATAATAAAATCTCATAGTGCTGCTTAAAGGGCGAAAATAAAATTAAGTAAAAAGTCTGCTAACTCGTTCTACATAAATAAAAGCAACACTTCTAAGGCAGCATGGGAGGTCATCAATAGGAAACGCAAGAGTGGATCAAATTTTCATTCACTGGGTATCACTCCCGACAATTTTAATGAAACGTAGCAAATAAATTAACTTCAAATATTGCTAATACTTACGATCCAACTGACTCTATGATTTCGCATACGGATAAGCGTTTTTCTTTCCGCGAAGTCTCATATATGAGATGAGAGACATCCCGACCAGTTTTAAGTGTAGTGATAGTAAAGACATATGCGATATAAATATCAATATTATCTTAATTATTATTCCATTGACTAAGCTGAAAAACAGGTGTATATCCAAAGGTATTTTTCCCAACCCCTTGAAGTTGTTCAGAGTGATTCCAGTTTTCAAAAAGGGGGATGTAAATGATATAAATAATTATCGTCCAATATCTATTATTCCCACAATCGGTAAAATTATTGAAAAGATTCTATATTCTCAATTAGACTTGTGGAGCGATTAGCAGAGTTCTTGATCAGGTTTTGAAAGCAGAGAGTACTCCGGCACAGACCTGTGCGATCTTTCGAAACCATTTGACTGTGTCTGGCATTCTGTTCCTCTGAGTAAATTGCAGAGGTATGGTGTGGATCCCTCATAGGTTGGATTCCTTCAAAGTTATCTTTTCAACAGGAGGCAGATCATGGTCCTGAATGGAAAATCATCACAAATTAGAGTTGTCGAACATGGAGTACCCCAAGGATCCATTATGGGCCCTCTTCTATTCTTGACTATATACACGATCTCCCTGAGCATGTTGCTGACATAGCTTGTACATTGTTCGCTGATGATACTACCTTTTCTTGTCGAAGTCATTTTGAGGACGACTTGGTGCACAGGATGGAGAGAGCACAGTCCCGGGCTAGTCAGTGGTTTCGTGCTAACAAACTTAACCTCAATGAATCAAAAACACAACAAATTATATTTTCTTTATGCGAGTCAACATTCAACAATCCATTACATGTGAAGTGTCTTGGGGTGCTGCTTGATCCGAAATTGACGTTCGAGCAGCATATTATTGGTCTTTGTGCGAAGCTCTCCAGGGTGGTGTTCTTGTTGCGCGGTTTGGTCGGCGAGGTCTCTCAAAGTATAGTCAGAATGGTATATTTTTCATTCTTTCAGGGATTATTTAGCTACGCAATTTTGGTTAGGGGTCACTTTTGACAGGCGAGCCATCAGGGCGATGACGCAGTTGAATTTTAGGAATGACGTAAGAGCAAAGTTTAAGGATCTTCAAATATTAACTATTGAATGTTATTATATATAATCGGCATTAAAGTATACTAGAAGCAACCAGGATCAGTATCCCCTTCATATTAATGTTTGCCATTTAACTACTCAAGAGTTGCAAAGACTAGAAATTATAACAACTATAATGGACCTAAATTCTTCAATCTATTGCCTCTAAGCGTCAAAGAGCTGCCGGAGAGACGATTCTCTATTAAGGTGAAATCACTTCTGCTGGATTTAATAATGGTTAGCGTTTTCTGTGTTATGTCACGGTGCATTTGTAATTATACATATATGTAGGTTTTGCTCAATGTTTTTGCTGATTTGTGTAAAACCGTACGGTTGTTAACTTCACTAATGGTCTTTTTTAGGAGCACCTCTGTGAATCCATGCCATTCATCGTCATTGGAAAAAAGAAGGTAATTAGCATTATGGAAACAGGCAGCTATATCATTAATAAATATAAGAAAGAATAGCGGCCCTAACTGAGAGCCCTGAAATAACTGGAAAACGCTCCGACAAGCAATTTCCAAGTCTAACTCAATCCACTTCAGAAGTCTACCTGTTATACCTTCCGCCACAGGTTACCAAGCAGCACTGCAGGATTCACCATATCAAATTGACCAAAACATTTTTTTTTTCATTTTTTCTTCTAATAATTACAAACTTGTTTTAGCAGCTTCGCCAAAATTTTGGTAAATTTAATTAAAGCTAGTCAAAAATAAATCTACTTGACGGTTAAAAGCCACAAAAAATAATAAAAAGCTTAAGTGGGTCGCCTTGCCCCCAAAATTTGAAAAGTCTTTTTATATGGGAAAAGTAGACTTTTTCTAACCTATGAATGGAGATAAAAGGTGGTTCAGTCAACAACTTAATGAACCAACCCAATCTTGATGAACCTTTATTAATAGTAATGGACAATGTATCGTATCACTGTGAACTAAGCCAAGACCAAATCAAATTTGGATCAAGGAATATTCCATTTCAGCCAAGTTCATTGAACGAGCAGGAGACGCAAGAAGAATCTTTTAAGAATTGACAAGTTAGCATTGCAATATGGTCATAGAGTTTTGCGGCTTGCGCCTTATCTTTTGATCAGATCATAAACAGTGTTATGATGCCAAAATAGCACTAGAAACACTCGGTCAAGTAAAATAATGATAATACTTCTGATGGAGTATTCAAAACACGTTGGTTTAGGGTTTCATCCGAAAAATGGAAGAACTATTGTAGAGCTAGATCAACCTAGAATCTTTGCAGACAGCAGACAGCGTGAATTATGGTGACGCGTTTTCCTTTATTTGAAGGTGCTTTCGTCTGACTGAGTGGAATCTACCCAAGGTTTGGATCTGGTGTCTAATCTATATCTTTTAATTTCTTGAAAGTAGTTAAATCTGGAAGTCCGTAGTCTATGTGATTCCATTAATAGTTGCCTTTTGTCTATTTTGCGATACTAAAATCCCATTTTACAAACAACTCTATTATATTTATATTGGTTTCATCTTCTTCTAGCTTCTCTTTTAGTTGATACGAAGTAGGAACAACTTCGCTTTGAAGCGGCAAACGATTTCGACGCGACATTGTTATATTGTCGTGAAATAACTTTTTCGAAACGCACATTAAAACCGACTATTGAACACTGCCACAATTGGTCAACACTCAGGAAATATACCAGAAAGAAAGAAATATACCTGGCCCACCCTGCCCGCTCAATTGTTGTTAATGGCTTTAGCCAATAACAATAGGCAATAACATAGTTAAAGTTTGATTGGGGAGGGTCCCGTCGAAAGCCAACACGATAAAGATTGGGACAGTACGCCACTGAGTTCTCTTAAAATAAAAATCATTCTTGCAATCCAGTCATTTCTAAAAATTTAATTCCTTGATTTTTTTTTCAGTTCGGTGTAGGGTTTCCGCTTAAAAATCAGTTCGTGAGCCATATTTATCTCTACTTCATTCAAATCAGTCATAGCTTTGTTTATGACACTAGTAGGGACTGTTTTGAATGGCGAGAATTGATTTATGAAATAGATTTGATGTTGTTTTCGATTTGAATTGGTTTTCTTTCTTTTCCTTCCGCGCATTGCCCAAGAGAACACTTTGAATTACCATTGTCAACTATAATCAAAGCTATCAAATGGGACCGTGGATCTAAATCGATTAGCCCTAAGGATCTACGGGACCTACGTTCTATATCGACGATAACTATCTTGGAGATGGATGACCGCCTGCCGGAGAAATTACAATTGAAAAGTGCCTCCCCACTTTTTCTAGTATTGTTCGTAAGAAACCCTTTGTGAGGGTCGAAGTGGACCAGGGCTCTTCCGTCCTGTTGGTGGTTACTCGGTAAAAATCCGAATGCCCAAAAGATACGAGGGTCGTTCATTAAGTTCTTGGTATTATCGAAAAGATTTTTTTCGATACCAACTCAACAGCTGTTAAAGCGTCAGCAGTATACATCGTTTAAATCGTTTAATTAAAACTAACTATTTGGACTTCTATCGTTCCTGAACGTTACCAAGACATTTTGAAAAACCGAATAAAAAAAAAAAAATATATATATATATATATATATATATATATATATATATATATATATATATATATATATATATATATATATATATATATATATATATATATATATATATATATATATATATATATATATATATATATATATATATATATATATATATATATATATATATATATATATATATATATGTTAAACTATTTATTACACATCTATTTTACACGACATTCGATCTTATGGATCTCAAAGCCACATTTCCATGGTTTTTCATCTAAATAGTGTAAGCTGATTAAATCTTATCTACAAAAAGTGTAAATACAAAAGTTTGAAGATTTGAGGGTGTCAAAATGACAGCAACATCATTTTTCCAAATTTTGTATATTGTTAGCTTAAATCGTAGATCTTTTTTCCTGATTTCAAAAACATATATTATATTATCTACCTTTGCAATGTTCTACTTCGAACAAGTAATCAAAACTAAAGATCTGCAGCGTAAGTTAAATAACTTAATAATTAATACACGAGGTGATAAAATCAAGGTTTTTTCTGTTTAGATCTGGTAAAACGATATTAAGTCTTTCTCATATCACTTGTAAACTTTCATGCCTATAATAATAATTTTTTTAAGTATCCCCACAAAAAATGTCACAAGGATTCAAGTCGGGGCTGTTGGCACACCATTTAATAGTTCCTTCCCTACCTATCCAAAGTCTATATTTATTATTTAGATTATCGGTAACGGGTTTGACATTATGAGGAGGTGCGCTATCTTGATGCTAAATTAAATTTAAGTAATTCCTAACTGGCACATTTTCTAACAACTGTTCTATTTCTGTTGCAAGGAAATTGAAATATCGTCGGTCATTCAAGGATTCGTCGTATATAATTGCTTTGACCAACATATTGTTCAACATACAACACCATACATTAACTGACCTCCGTCCTTGGATTTGAACGTAAAGTAATATATTGATGTCTTCATCAAAATTTCTTTCTATTGTCTATTTTGTCTATTGTCTATTTTTAATTGAATTTATTGAAGGAACTCTTCTACCCGGATATATTTCTCGATATTCTCTTTTAACCCTTGAAACATTATGTCCGTTTGAATAATATAATTTTATTATTTAGCGTTTTTCTTCCTCAGTATAACACATTCGAAATATCTTAAGTTATTTAACTTACGCTGCAGATCTTTAGTTTTGATCAGTTGTCAAAAGCAGGACATTGTTAAAACAATTGCAAACATAGATAACATGATTGCTATCAAGGAAGACTTGGTCATTTTTAAAGAATATGACTATTGTCCAAATATCGAATGATAATTATTTTTAAACTGAAATATCTCAAAAACAGCCTGAATGAAATGCCAATAAACTATATGTTTTTGAAATCAGGAAATCAGAAGAAAAGAAGATTGGCAACTGTTGATGAGTTTATTACATGTCCCTTGAGCCTACTTGATATTTTGTCATGTGGTATCTCAAATGGAGTTTAAATTTACGGAAGGTTTTGAGAAGAAGGAATATTATATCAAAACCAGATTTACTACTTGTCCAAAAATCTCTCAACATCTTCGATCCGTCAACTAAAAAATTCCATTTGAGTTTACAGCATTGCAGAAGATTTGTAAATTGTATTACGGTAGCCTGTGGAACTTTGAATGATTAAATATTGTGTGTGTTTTTTTGGCGTAAAACGGAACAAAGAAGAGCTCTACATTTCAACGTATTCGTCATGAAAATTTTATATTCATCGACTTTGCTAATGTACGTAAACAAAGGTATAGAAACAAACTAACCATGCTACATCGTCAGAACGCCTTATTCCAGAGATCCTTTACATTCAGTCCAATTTGTTTTTACAATTCCAGGACTTCACTAACCTAAATTGAAATGTGTTCGCTCAAAATATCAGGAATATAAGAAAACTCTGCAGAAATTGGGTTCAAGATGGCAATCACCCCATCTGGTGGTCGATTTGTTTCCAGACATGGCGGACAAAGGACGAAATCACCCAAACAAATGTATATTTTAAGGACCTTCGAAGATCCTCCTTTCTTTTGTGAAAATGCCAAGAGTTGGATGCAATTGCTGTGAAGAATTGCTCAAAGAATGTTTTCTCTCCAACGTTTACTAAGGACTTATCGAACGACCCTCGTATCGCATAGAACAAAAAAGAAGTGCACAAGTAGTGATGCCCCTTTTTTGTCCTAGACCTCAAATTATTTATTTTCGAGCAGATTGACAAAATGGAACTTATAACTACGATATAAACTTACTAGTTCTTCGTCAAAGCTCATTAGTTCCACTTTAACGTCGGGCGCTGTCGGTCTGCAAGGTATGGTAGTTTCTTGGTACTGTGTAGCTGGCTGGATCGGGTATTCGTCCAATACCGATAAATGTTCGGTATCTGTGAATGCAAGAGTGCATTAAAAAATCGAAATTTACAATATGTAGGTGCTTATTACATAGAAATTTATTTATTTATTCTTTTCAAGAAATTTATCCTAAATATTAATAACCTTATGGTAACTTAAACTAGGGTAAAATAACAAATAGAAAATAACAAATTATGGACAATAAAAAGCTATATATTATTCAGACGGCACAATAGTTGAAACATTATTAATTAACGTATGGATAAAAAAAATTCAGTACTGCAAATCAACTTAGAAAATTTGTCTTAATTTAATTTTAAAGGTATTTAAAGGTAATCAATGGTATTGTATTAATTTCCAAAGGAGACAAGTCTATTTAAAGGCATGTTTTGAGCATGTCGAGTCAGTACAGGAGACGAAAGGTGACTTCCTCTCAATTCTCTAGAGGGGATTTGAAAATTAAAACTAAACATTTGTGACACGAAAGACAGAATATATCTTAGAAGAAGAAACAATTTTGGGGCCTAGATGGGATAGATGAGACCCCTGAGGCACGCCGGATATTACATTTATGTTGGGGGGGGGGGGGGGGGAGAGGAAAGAGCTGATAGCTTGATAGCCACGATAGGAACGCACCACTAACACCAAACTTTTGAGGTTTGTTCAGTAATCCTCCTTAGTCCAGCAAATCAGAGGCTTTGATCAAATCAATATGTATAGAATGCAATTCACAGCACACAGCTATTATTCAGAGCTCCAGCGATGAAGTTAAGATACATAAAAAAGGTTCGTCACGGTAGAACGCACCCATAATTCTGCTCAACAATGATATTATGAAAGGCTCCGTCCAAAACTGGCAAAACCATCCTTTTCAATACCTTAGGTATTGCTGATTATTACCAGTTTTTAATATATTGCTTACAAATGAATGTTTTCTGAGTGTCTTTCAACTTGGAAGAAGCGATTGATGAAGAAGGTATTTCTCGAAACTACACGTAGTGATGCCCGAGGATTTCAAGAAATAGAAGCCATGTTTCACTAATGATCGGACCTTCGATCATTAGATTTACATGTCCCTTTGGTGTTTATAAATAAACCACATTCCAATTGCGTTATACAATTTTTTCTTATGACATACATGGTAAAGACGATAGAAACATACAAAATGTGCTTGATTATTTTGGAGCAAATCTTGAGCATTGGTACTGCGTTTTCTCCTTAAGCGCTTAACCGAGACATTTAAGTTGTAGTTCAGCTCTGAAGCGGCCAGCAATGTGACTGGCGAAACGTCAGCCATTGTGAAATGGCTAAACTTTTTGCAAAAATGTATCCACGGTGCATTACATATGAACTTATGGGTCTATAAGCAAAATATATGTACAAATGATAACTATTTTGGTATTCTCTAAAACTAGTTACTGTGAAATAATTACAATCTGCTTTTCAAAAATACCAAATACCTGCAAACTATATATTTTTGCAATCAGGCTGGATTTTCATCATTCATGAAGTTCTTAGTTTCTTATACATTTTCGGTGCTCATTTGTTTTTATTAGTATGTTCAGAAGATAATAGGGAAAAACCATACATAATATAACAAGTTTTTTATTATCCGCTTAAATTAACTCTGCAGGTGGGTACATAGAACTCCGTAAGACTCCACACTGTATCTCAGTGCGACTTAGACTACGCTTGGACTATAGGGTCAACGATGTAACGCCCTCTTGAACTTGAAGTGACAATACGCGAAGCGCCATCTAGTGTCTGGAGGCCAAAGTTACCCCTATCGTAGAAGAAACCGATTTATCAACTGGTGAGCATCAATCCCAGCGAACGTTAAGCGGGATTTTTGTGTGGTTATGTTGAAACGTAACAGCTGTGCTAGATCAGATATTTGTTGTCTGACAAGACTTTTACAAATTTGAGGTCCTACTTCACTGCCTTTCAGCTGATACCTTTCTATTGAGTTTAGAATAAAATTTAAATGAAAGTCATAACCTGGAATGTATGAAAACCCATGGACAAAAATCTTTTTAGGTGTTGCTAATAACACTACTACCCTCTTACCGTTGACATATAAATATATACTATCATTCTCGTCGCTCTTCGATTCGCTCAGGTAGTTTTCGCTGTCGTTTTGGTGAGCGCAGACGTAGAACCCTACGAAGGGGTAGGACATGTTGGTTATGTACAAAACCGCCCCGTAGTGGTAGTCAGAATTATGTGTACTCTCGAAGTCTTTCACGGAAAACGTAGTCCAAGTGTTTTTAGGTTCCTGAAATGCAATAATTGAGAAGATTAGAAAGATCGGGGGACCTCATGGTCGCACTTGCCTGTACTTCCGGCGTCACCCACTTCAGGGGCTTACTGCCCTGGCACGTCATGTTAAAGTTGTCGCCTGCCCTTAGAATCACATCGGTCGAGTCGTCCAAGTGAGTTACGATCTTAGGTCGTACTGCTTCGACTGAAAGAATAGGACAGGATTTCATTTGAATACGTTTGTACAATAAAACGGAAAAATATGAGCCACTAAAGCCAACAATTAATTTATCAAACAGTAAAATGTGAGGAAGAGCCTCGTAGCTTAAAATCGGGTCTTAATGAGATTGACCAAGAACATAGACATACATAGACCTTTTTTGAAGTTTCGAAGATTCACTATATTAAATGTCCTATCCTATCCAACAGTTCCTCAATATGTAGTTATGAAGCAATGGTTATCTTTAGTGAAGAAAATTTCTATACCGTAAAACAGTTTTGATTGAAATATACCAAAGTAACCCATTCTCAGTGTATATCAAAGCTGACCAACCATTTAAGCCCTCCAAGTAGAAAAGTGGATAAATCCTTGATTTATGTCCTGAGAGTTTCGTATTTCATTGGCCACAATGGATATTTTATCAGAACAAGTACGTACCGAAGCAGTTTTGATGAACGCCATACTCGAAACTGGTCAAGAAAGTCAAGTTTACGAATCCAACGACATATTTGCTACGTGATGACAAACGTGAAAAAATTTCAGGTGGTTTTAATGAATTTTAAATACAGAAAATAAAACATACTGGGGTATGTTTAGTTGTAAGTGGTTAGGTTTCAGTAATGCTGACAACAGTTGGATAGGTAAGCAAACCGTTATAATATAAGAGGGCAGCGCCAAAATTTCCCGGCCTGAATATGAAAGAAACAAAGTAGAGTAACAATTTTTCATTATTTTTCAATATAATCCCTCTTAACTTCAATACACTTATTAGATCTCTTTATTAACAACTCAATCCCTTTAAAAAATATTTTTTTGGTTTGTCCGCAAAATGAGCTAAAACAGCCTCTTTTAACTCAACTTCGTTGTTAAACCGCCTTTAAGTAAGTTCTTTTTCAAATATCCAAACAAATAGCAGCTGCTGGGGGCCATATCTGGACTATAGGGAGGATGATCCATCTGTTGCAACTCACACTCTAAAATAACAGCTTGTACAACACCAGCAGTATGGACAGATGTATTATAGTGCAAAAGACGCACGCCTCTGGTCAGTTTTCCTCGACGTTTTACACGTATGCAGTCCCGCAATTTATGTAATAATGTTGAGTAATATTTACCATCGACAGTGGTATTAGTTTCTTTAAAATCTATAAAAACAATTTCTTTCACAATCCCAAAAGATCGTGGCTATCACCTTCTTTATTGACTCTGAATTTTTTTGGAGGTGCCTCATCCTTACGACGCCACTCCATTGATTCCTTTTTCGATAGAGGGTCATAATAGAGAACCATAGTTTCATCTCCCATCAGAATAGTTTCTATCACAGGCTTCGGTTCCGACCCACAGAGTTCGAAAAAAGACCGCGCACACTCTACACGGCGTTGTTCTTGAATAGTCGAAAGGTTTTTAGGAACCCATCTTGCACTAACCTTATGCATACCTAAACGAACATGCAGGGTTCGACGAACACTTGTATCAGAAAGCTTAGTAATTTCTGAGATTTCCTTGACCTTTAAACGTTGATCACTCAATACCACCTCTTCCACAATCGCAACAATATATTCCGTTATGACCACCACTGGTCGACCAGTTCTTGGATCATCTTCAAGGGACTCCTGAGCCATTCGAAAACGTTTTGCCCATTCTTTCACTTTCTTTCAGAATACGAAGAAGAACTTTGGCCGTACACACCATCCAGCCTTTCTCAATAAAAAACCATTTGACGCAAGACTTCAATTTTTTTTCGCAGCCTACTAAGGTATATATTTAAAAGACAGCAAAGTTTTATCGTGATACTGGAGCTGCATCTATTCCAGGCCAAGTAACCTCGTAAATATATGAGCCTAGATTATTTACTGCAGCTCTAATTGCCTTCAAGTTAAGATGCATTTCAACTATTTGGATGAGTGTTAGAGCAAACAAATCAGGTATTTATAAATGCACTGTCATTGTCTACGACATGGTGATGGAAAAATTGAACAAGAAGATGTCCAGCGTATACTACAGAAGAATTCTGTCGATATTAAAGCAACTTTCCTGGGCAACGTTTTAAAAACAGATTGCCCTAAAATTGTTAATGCAGATTCGTTGTCTATTAAACGTACCCCACGACAGAACTTGCCCCTTTCCTCTGGAGATACCCGAGAATTCAAAATTTTCCCGCACCAACCCGAACACACCCGAACATTCACGAAGATCTAAATTTTCCCGCCAAAAGTGGATTACAACCGACAGCACTATACTACTTAAGTAATTTGATAGTTTTCGAATAGAAGTGTCGAATGATTAAGCTAGGGTTTTCGTTGTATTGAAAAGAAGTTAGTCGCCAGCCGTAATCTTTTCAATCTTTTCAATCTTCGCAATCTAATCAAGTAAACAAAAAGTTCACGAGGTCACGTCAAAATAAAACCTAACCTTTTACATCGCAATTTTTCCGCTGCGTTGGCAATTGGGCAAGTTAATTTCGCTGGAATCCTGAAGTATTTCGCAATTTGGAGCAAAAATATGCAACCAAGAGAGTACGACCTTTTTTAAGAAAAGTGAGTGAAAATATAATGTTTTCTAATGGAGAGAAGAATTTCCTTTTTTCTTAAGAACGTTTTCTATTTTCTATAAGTATATGTTTTCTCTGTCGTTGATATAACTTCAGAAACGTAAGAGATTCCCTTGGCTATTTTTAGCAGAATTGATCTTGATTCTTGAGCGCAGAGGAAGCTGAAACCTACACAGCCGGTTATATCGCGCAATTATCGCTTTGTGGCGGACAAAATGGTAAACAACGAACAGCAGTCTTATTAATTTTTCGACCGAATTAGATACGACTCTACGTGAGCAACTAAAAAATTTTTCGACATTTAACGATGCTTCCAGTGAAATGCAAAATGATGACGAAATTATTAATTCTCCGCCTTTGGTTAGTCTTTTTCAAGATTTGCCGAGCCGCCACTGGCCACATATTAAAATTTGGAAAGCCGGAGGTAAGGTCGGTGCTTTTGTGAGTAAGTAAATAGGCGGTCATTTTTTTAAAATGTGAAATGTCCTAATTATGTCGCATTTGTTTATTAAAAGCGTGAGAATTTTATAATGAACTGGTAGAAGCATATATTGTTGTTCTACGGACCACCATGGAACTTCTGCAGGATGTAAATGGAGTAAAACTAACTTTTACGCGAGAAAATGCGGTGAGGATGTGGCCAGGGTATTTTAATTACAATAAATGCCACAACCGGTGTTGGTTCCTACAATATGCGTGATAAATCATTAACTTAATATGAAATCTTCGCTAATCTTATTAAATTACACAATATTCATAGTTAAGAATATCTATACATAATTACATTTTTATTCCAAATGTGTAAATCTAATTCGGTTTCCGTATCAGAGAGTAATAGCATTTATGTTATTTTGTATACAAATGTTTTGTATAGAAAATCTAAATGTAAGAGTCAACATTTTTTATAATGTACTGTACTGAATTTTTCTAGTTCTCAATTGGTATGTTATTAATTACGTAGCATACGGTTAATTGGGTAGCATACGGTCGTCGTAGCTTCTGTTCTTGGGAATATTTTTTAAAAGATTTTTTTGAAACTAATTTTCAAAGAGTTCGGCACTCCTCCTCCTCCTCACGATAATCCAAGCTGGAATCGTTAATATACTTTTTTTTCTCCCGTTTGTAAAATACCTAATTGCACACTGATCCAGCACGCGGAAAGCGTCACTTTACCACGTCAGTTTCGTTTCCCACGAATCCGAGCCACTTCGGACATTTCCGGGATTTTACCGCACGGGTTTGGGAGCAATCGGATGTTTTCGGAGATATTTCCCACGCTTTGAAATTTGACGTTTGTCAATTCTGACGGTCATGTCAGCGAATGTATTAGTGTTGTTTTGCGAAAATGGACCCAAAAACTAACGGTTGTAGAAAAAGTATAGTATGCAACACATTCGGTGAACTTTTCAAGTCACTCGTTTATTAAACACTCGCTCCGCTCGTGTCAAACAAACTCGTGAGTCAAATCCCGTTTACCGCACTTGTTGCATAATATACTATTGCAGGCAAGAGCAAGCGTGTACTATGGTGATGCATTTTGCAGTTTTGAGTGGCAGTTCAACAAAGATTTACTCATTATTGATTGCGGTGCACTGAAAATTTGAAAGGTCTTTTTTTATGGGAATAGTAGCCTTTTTCCAAGATATGAACAGAGACAAAACTTTTAGTTTTATACCCATTTTTTTCTTTAAAAGGTGGTTCAGTCAAAAGCTGTTGCCCAATCTTAGTGAACCTTCATTAATAATAATGAATAACGCATCGTATCACTGTGAACTTGCTAAGAAAATACCCAATAAAATTTGGATCAGGTAGTCTTTTTTCGAGGAGCTGCAACCAAGGAATATTCCATTTCATCCAAGTTTAATGAAGGAAACACTTGCCAGAAAAAATATTTTAAGAACGGTGAAGTTAGCATTGGAAAATGGCCATAATGTTAGAGATGGTTTGATCAGATTGTAAAGAGTATTATATATATACAGCGGGGGTCCTACAGCTTTCTTTGCCGCATCCCGCATTTCGTATCCATCCGCTCGTCTTCCTGCATAGCTGTCTTTCGTTGTCTGTTTATACCTTCCTTCCAGGTCCTTAAGGGTCTTCCTCTTCTTCTCCTATTTAGCGGTTGGTACAGTAGTGCTACTTTCAGCCACCTGTCCTGCTCCATTCTCATCACATGTCCGTACCATATTAATTATTCTCTCTGCAGTCGTGTATACTCGCCCTGTTCCTCGTCGTATATTTTTATTTCGTATATGTTGTGTTCTAGATATCCTGCAGGATCTTCTCAGGCAGTTCAATAGCATCAATTGGTTTTTCCTGTCTATCCGTCAATTGCCAGCACTCACATCCATACGTTAGAATGGGTTCCACTATAACTTTGTAGATTGTCAGTTTTGTATTTAACCTAATTTTTTCTGAACAGCGCATTGAGTTTAAA